GATCTACAATCAAAATGTTGCATTATGCTGGTGTGATTCACTGAGCAAGTGGTGCCTCCTTCAGTCGAAAAAAGGGAAAGAAAATTCTTAAAGCGTGCTTAAAAAAAACTAAACCTTAAATTCAGAAGTCTGTACTGTTACTGAACATAAGACAAGAGGACCCCTGATCAATTCATAATTTTGAATTTTTATTTTACCCTACAATACACTTTCAACAAATACATTTTTTTCACACAACTAAAACAKCAGGACTCTTAAACCTTTCTATAGTTAAAGGCATTTTGAGGAACTGTATTTAATTTTAACATTATCATAACTGCAATAATGTGGAAACCACTTTATATTGTGAGAAAATCAAAGTAAAATCCAACTGACAGAAATAGTTCATAATCAGCTTACAGCAGTGTTGTTGCAGAGCAACCAGAAATATGATTTTTTGTACTTTTAAATTATTGCTTTTCAAAATAGGTCCAACTCAAAGTATTCTATTCAATATAGATAAACAAAAAATATTTATTATAAACTTATAAGAGCTGAAAAATCAATTGTACAAATGTTGTAGTGGAACTGGTTCAGGCATAAAAACATGTTTACATTTATCTTTGCATGAACATCAGGTAAGATCCTGAAGTTATGCTGCAAACAGTTTGCATTGATTTTTTGTAAAGATGTCTCAACAAACTTGATACAGCCCAATATGGCATCGGTGAGCAAATCTATTTAAATTTGAAACTGCACAGTATTTCCTCAAGAGCAGGGTAACATATAGGTCAGAACAAGTTACCATGATGATCCAGACAAAGTTCAAACAGAGCAAATACTGTAAAACTGGATACACCTACATCAGAGTCCACTTATCTCACTATGGCTAATCTCAACTTTGTCATTCATCAACACGTGTGGTAAAAGAGTAATGTGCCTAATCACAAATCAACTTTATAAAGTCAATTTTATCTCACTCAAGAAAAAATAAAAACCTCAGCCAGGCTGGTTTAAAGCAAAACAAAACAATTTTCTAATACTTAAAACCCTACAGTACATCTCACAATACTTTGATTTCACATGTTGCAATTATCAGAAAAAAACATCAATCAGTACCTGACTGTACATTCAAGTAGTCCCTTTTTATAAAATGTGCCATCATAAAAATGTCATCATGTTTCGTTTTAGGACCATCCAACTTCAKTTTGTGGTAGGAGACAATCAGCTTCAGCTCAGGACACTTCACATCCTTGTTTTCCTCGATGTCGACTCTTAACATCTGTAAAGAAAACAGCAACAGATCCATGTAAGAGGAAAGTCCTGAAGTTAAACTTTTAAGGTCCACAGGCCTGAACAACAAAAAAATAAACCAGAAATAACWAACAGATTTATTTTCTCCAACATTAGAATATTGGGCTAAATACACATGCGGACAAAATTGTTGGTACCCCTCGTTTAATGGAAGAAAAACCCACAATGGTCACAGAAATAACTAGAATCTGACAAAAGTAATAATAAATTTAAAAAAAAAAAACTATGAAAATGAACAAATGAATGTCAGACATTGCTTTTCAACTATGCTTCAACAGAACTTGTTTTTTTTTTTTAATTAAACTCAAAACATCCCATGTGTCTACAACCTTATCATCAGTCAGTGGGCCTGTACACAGGGCTACAGATACTCACTGTGCTGTTTGGTGACATGGTGTGAACCACACTCAACATGGACCAGAGGAAGTGAAGGAAAGAGTTGTCTCAGGAGATTAGAAAGATACTTATAGACAAATATGTTAAAGGTAAAGGTTAYAAGACCATCACCAAGCAGCTTGATGTTCCTGTGACCACAGCTGCACATATTATTAAGAAATCTAAGATCCATGGGACTGTAGCTAACTTCCCTGGATGTGGTCGCAGGAGGAAAATTGATGACAAATCAAAGAGAAGGATAATATGAATGGTAACAAAACAGCCCTGAAAAACTTCTCGAGATTAAAGGAAAAGCAATGTCTGACTTTCAGACATATAATTTTTATTTATTAGTTTTGTCAGATTCTAATTATTTCTGTGACTATTGTGGGTTTTTCTTGGGGAACCAACAATTTTGTCCACGTGTGTATACTCAGTGGTTCCACAAATAGTTATTACTTATACTCTTGAAAATATTTTAATTTCTCTGCAGATATTAAAATAAAAAATATTTTGTTTCTATAACTCAAGAAATAATTAACCTACCCTTCTATTATCCGAACATAGTTACTTTTATGTTACAAGAACCTGTAGATTTTTAAAAAGTTCAGATTTCTGGATGTGACATAAAATGCACTAGACTTACTCTCTCCGTTGTGTGCAGAATTTAGGGTTTGTTGAGATCCTGCTCTTTGATCCAGTTTTGAAAGCCTTTTACCCCCTTTAGATGGACTTAATATAACAAAACCATCTTCAGTCTCATCTGTAWGAGGAGTTTCTGTAGGAGAGGGGCATGCTTTGCTTTTAACGGAAAGGGTACTTGAAGATTTGTCCTTTGAAATTTTTTTCTTCCGTGAAAAAAATCCCYTTTTCTTCTGCGAGACTCCATTTGGTTTCTTGAAGGTTTCACTTGGGGTTTCAGAGGGCAGCGGACTCATCCTGTCCATCTTCTCACTGGTGGCCAGTCGAGGCCTCCCTTGAGTTTCCTCTTCAGAAACCTCAGCCAGAATCGCACCCCTCTTTGTTTCAAAATCTTGGAGCGACTCTGAAGAGCGTGGAAACACCAGGGAATATTTAGGGTTGTAGAACTTGTGTGCAGGCACCTGGATTTCAGCATTCCGCGAATCCCCTAAGCTGACCTGGAAACGGGACGTAGTTGCTGGTAAAGGCGGGCGTTTTGGTGCCGATTTAGTGCGAACTGTAGCTGTCACGTTAGTGGTGGGTGGACTAACATGGAATTCTTTATAGAGGTTCAGTTTCTCAGAGATGGCATACAGCTCACGGAAGTCCCGGTCAAAGAAGTCCACCACCTGTCCTGTCATCACAGTGATCATGTTTCGGTCCATACGAGACGTAGACCAGGTGAAACTGGAACAGAGACAAGATTAGAAGTGAACTTCACTGTATTCTTTAATCCACTACCCTTACAGCTACTGTAGGTTTTTAGTTTTTGAATTAAGGCCAACACAGATAATACTTCTATTCTCTCATCCTCTCGTGTGGAAAGGTTATGAACAATAATGAATACCTCCTTACAACTTAAATTTGGAGAAATAGTGTAATTTAAGCCAAAATGATGATATAATTGCAGACTTAAGTGGATTTCTACCATCTTAGACTAGGTTCAATATAAAAAAAATCATAAAAGTCCATGCAAACTTGTCTTAAAAAAACATAGCTGTCAGTTTCACAATATACTGCCATTCTAGGAGAGATACTTCTGAAGGTAGTGCCTCAGATTGTACTGGAAGTGTTGCTTTTTTGATGTAAGTAAGTGTGTAATGCAAAATGTATGGCAGTTTATAAAATATCTTTCACATAAATGAACAGTCAACTATTCCGACCATATTTTAAGAATTAATTAATGGCCATTGTAGCATGAAAAACAGTGACCCCCCCTGACATGACCCCTTGACCACCACCGGTCATATCTCATGATTTTGTCCTGAAAAGCTACCTTAGATTCAAATTCTACCCTAGCTTCAATAATCTGTTCTTGTCTGCAGATAATGCCGACCCCACAGTCTTTTTTAATCTTTTGTGATTCGTTTTATATATATAAAAAAGGAAAATAATCCTTATGATTTTCCTTTTTAAATGTATTTTTATTTCAAGTGTGTATTATCATATTGCAAAAAAAATGATTTCTGAACTGTCATTAATTTTCACACCAGTGTAAGTTTAACTGACTGTTCTTTTTCTTCCCTGAACAAAAGGAAACAATGCCCGTGTGTGTGTGTGTGTGTGTGTGTGTGTGTGTGTGTGTGTGT